CTCTTAAAGTGAAACATTATCCCCTTTAAAGTGAAACATTCTCCCACTTAAACTGATAAAAAATTATCACTTGAAATCTCTTCCTTTAAAAACCAGTAAACTCTTTTAAAATATGGTCTTCACATTCACTCCCCTTGAATATTGCAGCACAATAATCTTCAGCAGAAATCAGCAATCATCACATTCACTCCTTGAATCTTTGACAAAAATTCCCAATATTCAAAAATGACGCAGAAATTTTCATTCATTATACAAGAATACTCCCCCTTTAGATGAAATGAGGAGCATTTACATCATACACCAAAAATGAATGAATATTTGAAAGTATGCTGTCAATTCATAAAATGGTAAGCAAATCTTTTCAAATTTGCTTATATAATATTTTCAGATTATGAAGATAAGGGAAAGAACCAAATTCAACTTATGAACTTATTTGCAATCTTATAGAAAGATTGGCTTGTGAATATAACAGATATATTCAGTACAACGAATGTACTTCATATATGAGACTTTTTAACGTTTATCTCACCAGGACTTCCATTCAAATTAGACTTAAAAAGATAAACAGTGTGGACTACACAAATTTATCAGACTCAATTCGTGATAAAAAAGACTTGAAGGGGGAACATATATCCTTCTTTTTCAATATCAATTCTCTCCAAATGAGAAAATGATAGATTATGAGCTGCGTGCCCCAAGTGTTATTGAAACACTTATCTTTTGAGAGATAAATGAGTAACCGGTGGGGTTGTGACAAGAGTTGGCTTGGGCTTTGTCTATTTTCAGTATTAGTCTCCAAAGAATTGAGAACTAATAGATTTCATGGTTTGCCCGGATTATAATAGATATACAGGATTTCTTTTAATCTTTTAATCCTGACACAACTCTCAATTCTTTTAGCTCACAACAACTACCCCTCTCATTTTCATTTTAAGCTCTGCACACAAACCTATTTTTCATTGAAGCTCATTCAGATATGGATGTCCTCTTGGGTAGGGCTGTCGGTTCTGACAATCCATAGAGGTATTTCAGTAAAGCTTTTAGTCCCTCCTAAAAATAACAATGTAAGCTCATTTGATCACAAATGATTGATCAAAAATATTATTGCAATTATGCACAAATGATCAGAATGAAAATTGATCAAGAAAAATGTAGCAATTAAGTACAGGAAACAATCAATCTGGAGTGATGTACAAAACAAATTATTCAAAATAGTTGGAAGAAATGAATGAAGATCCGTAAGAACATGTTTACAAATTTACACAAACAAAGAATGAAGAATTATGAATCAATCAAAGAATTATGTTTCATATATGCTCAGAAAACAACTTTGAATACAAACGAGTGTATTATCACCGAAAATGATTTTCATTTAAGAAATATGATAATAACAATTTGAAGAATAGTTGAAACAAGTATTGGAACTATGAATGAAAATAAATTACACAAGTAAAATCTCAAAGAAATACCTTATCAGAAATGATACTCGTTTTATATCAACTCAAATTTCAAAAACATTTTCAAAAACTCTCCCTAGAAAACAGATTCCATAATTCTCTATAAAACATTATTCTCCTGTACTCAGAGTATGGAAACATTTTAGCTCAGAATTGAAGAGCAGGTCCTGAACTGGGTGTTTAGAAGCTATATTCAGGCAAATTATACACTCCTCTTACATTAGTGTATCATATAAAAGATGTCTCTAATCAGCACAACATATGACACACCTGCAAAACAGATTAAGTAGATTTTGGTACCCAGACAAACATGGGTCCTACTTTGTTAGTATTGGCTTGAGGGATGTTATAACTGCCAAACCATATGTTCTTATCAGATAATTTCTTTTTAGTTCTCTTAACAGGTAGACCAGATAAACAATAAGAACCATACCAGTCATTTTCATACCTATTATTCGCATACCAGTTGCTCTCATACCATCTGTTAATTTTCTTCTTGTTGACGAAATCATTTGTTTCGCAAGTTGAGCACCGAATTCTTCTCTTGCTAAAACTGATCAATTGATTAGTAGACTTCACAGTGCAAGGAAAAACAGTATTAGTCACAAATGATTTCTTATTATCAACAAATTTATGAGAAACAACAAAATCAGCTTTATTCACCCAAACTTGCTTAACTTTTGAAAAATTATTGTTTGATTCAATGAGATACCCTTTGTAAAACTGATTTAAAATATGAGATTTGTTCTTAGAAATAGTTGATTTAGGACCACTTGAATAACTGTTGGATTTGACACTGGAACAGTCATAAAAGCAGGTTTTACACTTAGATTGAGATCTAGTTGAGCTTTCAGCACTTGATTTAGAAAATTCTTTTATTTTCTTAAGTAACTGGTCTCTCTCTTCAGCAACTAAATCATATATCTTTTTAAGTTCAGATCTCATATTCATTTCAGCTACAAGTTCTGTCTTTAAATCAGACAATTTCATTGAAGTTTCCGAGAACTTACCTTCCAATTCTTTTCTCAACTTTTCAAAATCTTTCCTTTCTTTCTCAAACTCTTTTCTATCTTCTTCAAAACTTCCTTTATCATTATCTGAAGCAATGTCAAGCCATTTCTTTTTCTCTATTAGCTCTTTAGCGATTGCTGCATTCTTTTTCACAATATTCTTCTTCTCTAAAGCAAAAACTTTTCTCTCATCATTTAAAGTTTTCTGCTTTTTAGCAATGCTATCAAATATTTCCAAATGTTTCTTTTGACATTCTTCCACATACTCTTTCTTCTCAATATCAAACTTGGCTCTTTCCAAGATGACAATCTGTTTAAAATCTGAGATTTGCTTTGAAAGCTTTGTGGCATTCAACTCTAAAGCTTTTATATTGCTTTCAAATGATTTCCTTTCAGCATCAAACTTTTTCTCAGCCTCTATCAATTTATCCTTCTCCTTTTCCAGTAATTTCTTTTCAGCAATCAATTCATTCTCAGCTTTATGAAATTTCTCTGTCAGCTCCTCATTCTTTTGGATTTGCTTTACATTTCTTTCCTGTATATCAGAAGAAAAACCTTTATGAATGAATTCATCTATTTCTTCTCTTAAGAGCTTTTTCTCTTCAACAATCATCTCATGCTCTTTTGATATACTTTTAGCCTAATCTAAATTTGCATGACACGCATAAAACACTTTTACATACTTTTCTTTTTCCCTCTTTAGACTTTTCTCTAAATCAAAAACTTTCTCTCTTAGTTCCTTATTTTCTCTCTCAAAATATAATGCCATTTCAAAATTCACAAACAATTGATTAAACAACAAAGATCTTTGCAGTTCGAAACTTTAATTAACAAACACTCACAAAAATTCTCAAACAAATGAAAATCAATTAAATCTCAAAATATTTATTCAGATAAGAAAGTCACCTGATAAAATCTCCGAATGAATTATCGAATATGATCTTCGGACAAACAAACTAATTGAGGAAGAGCAACTACTCCTCCTTCTCCCTCATCGTCCTCTTAATTCTCTTCGAATTCAATAGCTATGCCAACATCATCATCATCAAGGGCGTCTTCCCCGTCATTTGCTGCATTTGACCCAGCAACAGCTTCGTCAAGAGCGTCTTCCCTGTCATTTGCTGCATTAGACCTAGCAACATCTTGACGCTTTTGTTCTTGCTCATCTCCTCAGAACTTGAGAAGAGCCCCAAGTCTCGTTTGGCTTCTTCTCTTCTAACTCTTTCCTTTTCCTTCTTTCGAGCTATTTCATCTTGTCTCTCTCTTTTTGCTCTCTACTACTCTGCCTTCCTCATCTTCTCTCTTTCTTCCATCTTTTTCTTTGCTTCCACCCTCTTCCTCTTTTTCTCCCTCTCCCTCTCTTGCCTTACTCCCCCATCCTCTTCCTGAGACCTATGTACCTCCTCTGCTTCCTCTCCCTCTTGGTTTAGCCCTATGTGTATCGAGGTTCGAGGCACTGGTTCTAGTGCCTCGCGTACACGTCTATATCCCTTCCTTATCTCCCTCGTCAATCATGTACACCATTAACTTCATTGGGATTGGACTCTCTGTAGCATACCCTTCCTTGTGCACGGTAGGTTTGTACGTTGAAAGTACATTTACCTTGTGCATAAGAAGATTTGCAACATCGAGGTTGTGCTCATCAATGCTAGGTCTTAGAAGAAGACCCAGAAAACGGGGAAACAGTAGAGCTGGCAGATCCTTTCCCTTCGCGGCCTCCTGGCATTTCTTGGCAACTGCAGCCTTAAACTTCGTGTACAGGATTAAGGAGTAATCCATAGATAGATCAAAAAAGATTCCGTACACATATTGAGACTACCAATCTTCCTTGTCAACGAACGGTTGACCAATGTGAATATTGTGTTCCACATTGGTGGCAGGTACTGTCTTCGATATTGTGATGGGTACTGAATAGCCTTGTGTACCCCAACAGCTTCAAGAATGCCACCAGTTCATCCCCAGATGGGAGAGGGGCGTACTCGCTCAAACCAACGTCAGTCTTGGTTGGTATTTGAAGAACACGTGAGAATAGTGACCTTGAAATTCTCACAGAAACGTACTCCTTGGAGGAGGGTACGTAGAACTCTCCAATAATCCCTCGTTGGGATTCCGTGACGGCACATGTTTCTTGAAACTCCTGAATGAAGTGTTTAGGGACAACGTCGTTGGAGTTTGTGACGGTAGAGTTCAAAAAATGATGTTGAAGAACATCAACGATAGGGCAAACCTTGGGGTCGAAACCGTCCAAGGTGAGGTAAAGGGCATGATTGTTAGGCTTCAGTGAAAGGGGAACAACGTTTTGGCTAGTTTTTTCCACGGTTTTGAGGGTAGTGGTTTGAGTTTGGGAGTTGGCGGAATCTGAAGAAGACATTTTGCAGGTTTGGGTGAAAGAGATGGGGGTTTTTAAAGATTAGGGTTTTGAAGAATCGGTTCTTGATTCTTCGATTATAAATCTGGAGAAGGTTTTTAAAGAACTTACTTGGAATAAATCTCGATTGATTCGAACACAGATTGAAGATTTTGTAAGCTTGGTATTCATCAATGGCGGTTGTTCTTGAGAGCTTAAAGACAATAGAATAGCTGAAGAACTTTTGAAAGCGTAAAAGAAAATTTGGGGAAAATTACTCGTTTAAATGGTAAAAACTTTATAGGCACTCGAGTAAAATCAACCCCCGAAGCGGTTAATCACCCACCTGTGGAGAGATGCAACGTGGCCTGACAGGCTGTGAAACGCGCCTCCCATATTTGAAAAATTAGGGATACAGGCGGTGATACTTGTGTAAATGACAACTTATTTTAAAATACTAAAATAAAGAACTGTACGCCTTCCATTAAAAATAATATATTTTTGAGATACTTAGAGAAAACGAAGAAAGTCCATACTCTGGATCATGTAAAAAATAGCAACCATTTTGAGACAGAAGCTCTGTATTTGAGATACAGAGTTGCTGTACACTAAAGTTGTTCATTTAGATTTTAGATGAAACCAGAGTACAGTTGAGTGAAAGATTACATACCTTAGGAACTCATACAGAGACTCATGGTTGAATTATTCATACCCTCTGTCTTATAAACGTGACATGTTTAGAGACAGAAGCTCTGGAGGCTCTATCTTATAATCATGAAGGTTTTTAGAGACAGAAGCTCTGTATAGTACATATAGAGGCTCTGTATGGTGAATGATTCGAACCTCCTCCTTAACTTATGTTGGGTTCAATACTGTGCTGATATGTTGTATTCAAGTTGTTTATTCTATTTTGTAATAGTTAGGGTTAATGCTTTCTTTGTATAAATAGGAGATTAGTAGTTTAATTTCAGTTTAATTTTGCTAATCATTCTCTCAAGAATTATACTTAAAAGCTTTGGTGAAATTCTCTCTCTACAATTGATTCTACTTTGAAGATTATCTTATTTGATTGATAATTGGGAAATACAATTGATATCAGAGCATAGGAGCAGCAATTTGTTTGAAGGATTACACGATTTTCGAGGATTTTCGCACAAAATTTGGAATTTTTTTACTGTTTTATCTTTGTGTTCTTGAAGTTCATCGCCTGTGTTCTTGAAGTTCTTGGCCGATTTGATCATTTTTTTCTCTAATCGCATCATAATTCAGTGTTAATTGTTAAAATTTGATTTACTAAGTTCGCGATTACATTTTGAACATCTGATTCACACAGTTTTGCACATTAATCAAGTTTTGAGGCATTTTTGACATATTTTTGAGTTTTACGAAAACTTTTTGTTCATCCAAAAGTTCATAATTTTTCGAGTTTTGATCCAAATTTTTAGTGAAAAGTTGATAAAATTGTGTTTTTGCTTGAAGATAAATCGTATAACTCCTTGATCGATTTAGGATAATCCGCTTAGTATAGTGTGCGATTTGTGACTTAGTGAATCTATGAGATTCTTGTGTGATTTAGTGTTAAGCCGCTTATAACTGTGTGCGATTTAGTGTTAAACCGCTTGAAACTGTGTGCGACTTAGTAATAAATCTCTTGATATTGTCTGCGATTTAGTCTTTATCCGATTGAAATTGTGATCGATTTAATTTTGATTGTATTGTGAATTTGTGCGATTTAATCTGTGATCGATTTTGACTTTGACTATATTTGGGCGGATTTTGACTTTGACTGTCAAGCGATTTGTAAAAGTTTGACTTTGTTAGTTGATCGAATTCATTATTTGACTTTCTTAAATCGTATATTGCATTGATCGGATTACTTGTGTTGACTTGTTGACTTATTGTAATTTGACCGTATTGTGATTTGTGTAAATTTGGCTAAGTGTTTTGTCCGGATATCTAATCCGGATGACCTGTGCGAGTTGCTTAGTTTTGACAAACTTAGTTGTCCGGACTCCTAATCCAGATAAACTTGTCCGGACTCCTAATCCGGAGAAGGCTAAGTGTTGAAATTTAAGTGTTGAAATTTTCTAAGTGTTGAATGCTTGTAAATTTCATGTGTGCGATTTTTTTGAGATAATACTGAACTTTAATCTTTCAAATCAAATTTTGAACTGCAGAGATCCAATATCATTGTAATCAGATAACATGAGTTCAAAAGAAGCAATGGCAATTGGTACTGATACCAAGCCGCTAGTACTTTTCAGAGAAGATTACAACCAGTGGAGAGATAGATTTCTCAATTTTATTGAACGTATGAAAGAAGGAGAGTTGATTATGGAATCACTAATGGAAGGACCAGCAGTGTTCTGGAGAGAAACTCCTGCTATTCCAGCAGAGAACAGGCCTGCTCAAAGAGTGATTAAAGAAAAATCCAGATATACTGCTGAGGAAAAAGAAAGAGCACATGCTGATGTGTTATGCAAATCTTACATGATGCAGGCGCTTACAAATGACATCTATACCAGTATTAACAGCTACAAAGCTTCTGGTCATAGCATGTGGAAGCAAATTGAGAAGATGATGATGGGCTCCAAAGTTAGAACTCAGTTAAAGATCACCAATTGCATCATAACATATGAAGAGTTTAAAGCCAAAGATGGAGAGTGTCTTGATGAAGTATATGAAAGATTGACCAGACTGTTGAATGAGCTTACAAAGAATGGCATTTCTAAGACTGAAATTGAAATAAATGTTAAATTCCTCAGTAATCTGCAACCAGAGTGGAAACCTTATGCAAACAATATCAGATATAATAAATCCTTGTCTGATATTGACATACATGAGGTTTATGAAACTTTGAAACAAAATGAGGAAGATGTCTTAGAGGTCAGAGATATGAAGAAGAAAAAGGAAAAGGAAGTTACTGATCCTTTGGCCTTTGTTTCGGAAAAGAAAAATATGGTTAAGTCTAGCAAGCAGGTTAAAGAGGTTATTCAGACAAGCGAGTCATCAAGTGAAAGTAGGGACAATTCTGATTCTGACTCAGAAATGAATGAAATCAAATAGGCCATGTCAATGCTAACCAAAGCCTTTCAGAAGAAGTTTCAGAAGAAACCGCACTCTAACAATCAAAGATTTTCTTCGGGTTCTAAATATGAGTTTAAAGATAAATTTGGAGAAAAGAAGAAGTATGATGAAAAGAGATACGAGAAGAAGTATGAGAAGAAACCTGAAGAAAAGAAGACGTTCGTTAAAGGAGTGGCGAA